CCTTCTCTGACAAGCCTCTTAGTATAGATATTCAGTTACTCTTTCAAATAATGTTTCCATCACTGTTTCATGCAAGGTGTGCTGCATGTCTCTTGGAGCTACAAGCCAGACGAAGTTTAAACGGTGAGTAATCTGTAAGATTCTTATCTCCTCCAACTGGAATCAACTGCAGTTGGAAATGTGCCTATTTTCTTTCAGATATTTTTAATGGTAGTTCTGTAGCCGAAGTTACTTTTGACAAGTGCATAAAGCAGAATGTTAGAATGTTCAAACAGATGAGTTCTGCCCCTGTGAGAAAAGGCATTGCCACTGAAAACAACAATGACTTCTAATCTTTTCCAGTTGTTTGAGCCCCAAAGAATGGATCTGAGCCTCTGTAGATCTGTCCACTCTTGGGAGAAGAAATGACAGGTTTAGGAATTTTGTTTCCTTGGTATAAAAAGCATCTGTACCCATCTCATATTCATTTTTGTGTTCAGATGTTTGATTAATACATTTACTTTTGAACAGTTTAAGGTCTTCTCATGCATATTATGGAAGAACCCTTCAGAAACAAGAGCGCTTTCCTCATCCATGCTGACAGTATTATTTCCCTCACCTTAAATTTGCATATGTCTTATGTAAGGTGCAAAGAACATAAGATTTTTGGTGGTATAAAGTATAATTACCAGGGTGTGGTAGTACTTGCCTATAATCCCAGTTCTCTGAGGGACTGAAGCCAAAGAATCAGAGGTTGGAGCCCAGGATTGGCAATTTAGCAACTCAGGAAGACACTGTCATATAATAAAAGAGAAAAAGATATCTGGAGATGTAGCTTCCTGTGAATCTTCAGTGTCATAAATAAATAAATAAACAGATACATAAAGAAGTAGCTGAATATATATAATCTCTTGCACTTTTCTTTCATATTTTTTGCCTTCCTTCCACAAACTATGATTAAATCAAGGGATATGTAGTAATTCTGGTACTTGATTTTTCTCATGAAAGTATTTAGAGCATCTGGAATTTTTTGGCACCAAATATGGGTATAATAACATAGTTTACGTTCAATATTAATGAGTTAATTTATTTCTTTGCTGATTTTTAAGTACCACCTTGTGATACATGAAATAAATATTCATAAATTTAAGTATAAAGGTATGAATAAGTACATACAGATCACCCACGTGACTATTTTCTATTTAATCCAATTGTTGAATAATTTTTCTCTGTCATTACCACACTGTTTAAAATATTATATTTACTAATTGATATCACTGCTTCTTAACATGTCATTCTCATGTTATTCCAAATGGGAGAAGTGATACTACTAATTGATGTAATTCCTTGCTAAAGTATAATTCTCATTAATTTCCTTCCTTTTTAAAAATAATTTTATAAAATATCCATGTTAATGATGACATGTCAGTTTGACATTACAATTAGGAAATTTTCTTGCTATGTTTAATTAGAGTAGAGTGAAATTCTATAGGACTTTTTGCTGAATACTGACATCTATACAGTATTCTTTTCAATGATTTTAACTTTTTATCATTAATTAAGTTTATGGGTACACTTTAGATATACATAGTAATCACATTCATCATATGGAATTTGTACCCGTACATTATATCTTTATTCTTATTTTTTCCCATTGTACTCTCTCCTCCCTTGTACCCACCCCACTTCCCCTTATTTACAAAAGCTTTTTTTCCATTTATCTATCTTTTCTCATTTTTTTCCTTTCACTTCCTTCCTTTCCTCCTCCCCCCTCCCTAGTTCTCCTTCCTATTTGAACATTTTCTCCCCATTTCACAGTATCTATTATACATTTTTGGACCTTATTTACACATTCAGTTTCTCACACCAGAGAAACATATGATATTTATGCATATATGCCCACTTTATTTCACTTAAGGGCATGGTTTCAAGGCACGATCATTTACCTTGAAATTTCTCAAGTCTATCCTTCTTTATGGCTGAGAAGTATTCTCGTATAAAAAAAATCTTCTTTATTCATTCATCAGTTGATAGGCATTTAGGTGGTTTCAAAGGTTTAGCTATTACAAGATGTGCTGCTCTGAATATGGGTGTGCATATATCACTGCAGTATGATGCTTTCAATTTTTTCAAGACTAGTGGTTCCATTTGACCCAGCTATCCCTCTTCTTGGTATCTTCAATGGTTTTATCTTTTACAGTAGAATTTAATATTTTTTTCAAGCTTCTGATAAAGTGTTCTTAAATCTACTGCTACATTACATATACATTCCCCACAGTACTACCGATTTTATACTAAAATATTTTAACAATTGAATATTTATTTACTTCTTGGCTTGCTACTGTGCTTTTTGGTACAGAGAATTAAACTCTGAGGCTTCGCATTGTGCTACTTCCCAAAGACTTTAATGTTTTTATTTTGAAAAATTACTTAATTTAATTTAAATTTCTTAATTTAAATTTTATATGTTTTACTTAAGCCACTAAGTTGTCCACACTAACTCAAACTTTACTCCTCCTGTCTCAGCCTCTCAGAGTGCTGGAGTCACAGACATACACCCCCATGTTCATCTACCTAGTGTACTATTTTATTGGACATGAAACCCATTTATAATTTTTTCTTGAGTTTCTCAGGTGGAAAATCATATTCTTTAAAGTTATTAATGCCTTCTCCTTCCTTCAAAAAATATTTTGCCTGTTGTTTGATTTTATATTTATATATGATGTTGAAATTCCAGAACAATATTAAACAATTGTGATGATAACAGAAAATACTGTCTTAATTCATATTGATTGGAAATTCATATGTATGGACATGCTTTAAAGGATCTTTACAAATAACAGCTAAACAAAAAATCACAGTGCATGAGATCTATCAGGGCTGGAGGAGTGCTTTTCAGTACAAAGAACCCATGAATGAAGAGTGTCTGCCCTTCACCCACCCTGGCAGTGACTCAGTGCTTTTTCTTTAAGCAAATTCTACATTTGATTTTCTCTTTAATTGCCAAATACTAAGTATGTATGCTTTCAAGATGCAACATGATTTTTAATATATATTTACATTTCCAAATGACTAAAACTAGAAAATGAAAAAAACCAGCACTCCTTGTACCTCTCCATATGGATCAATGTGGACAGGGAAGTTGTTTTAGTTACATTCAAGAAGCTAACTTTAAGGAAGTAGCCTCCTCCTAAACTTGCATCTTCAATCATAATGAGTGTCAAATTTCATCAAGTTCTATGCATGCTTCAACAAACCTATTTTATCTGCTTGTAGAAATATTGTTTTGTTGTAGTGGCCTTTTGCTTTCTAAGAAGCTCTGGAGGTCCTCTGTCCCGAGTGTCTTTACATGGTGTGATAATTTAAAAAAAGATACAATAAATGTTACTGCTTAGTTGCATCTGATGGAAATGGAAGCTCAAAAAATTGCTTTGTGTCCTTAGCAAGCTTACCCACCAAATATGGCATCGTCTGAATTCTGCCTCTTACTCAAAAATAACCATGAAAAGGAAATATTTTTAATCATTTTGGGACACTGAGGCAACCAGGACAGTGCAAATAAAGATGTGCATTAAAAAAGACTTCCAGAATTGCTTGAGAAAGAGCCAAGAACAATGTGGTAAGTATGTTTCAAATATGGTAAAGTCTTTGGGAAAAACTAAATGACAAAGTATTTTCTACTATAATTTATTTTAATTTAAGCATTCACTACAGTTTTAATCACACCATATATATATATATATACACACACACACACATACATATATATACACATACATATATATATATACATATTACATGTGACACATACATATTCACATAATATATCAGACATAAATATATATATCATTTTACATGTGTTTGATTTTCTTAAATTCGAATGGGTTCTCACTATGGTTCCCAGTCTGGTATCTAATTTATGAGCTCAAATGATTCTCAGATTTTGGTCTTGGAAATGTCTGATACTACAGAAGTGCACAATCATGCCCATCTTACTTTACCATATTTTACTGAGACTGTATGTTCTTATGTCCTTTAGATTTTCCTCCATATTCACTAATTAGAAATCCTGCCTGTGTATCTTTCCCATGGCTATATCAATCAGAGCACTTGACTAGGATATTGATCCTACCATAATTATATTACTATCTCCACAAGATTTGAAGTGGGAGGATTCCAAGTTCAAGGCCCCTTCAGGCAACTTAGAGACTTTACAAGAATCTTCCTGTTATGATTTTGGTCTAGATGCCTCCTCCCCCCAAGCCTCATGCAGTCATAGGTTTGATCTAGAGTGTGTGAGGTAGAATTGATTCATGATGTAATGCTAGGGTCTAGGGCACTAGGATTAAGGGTGCGAGTCCTACCTACCCTAGGTAATCTGAATAAGATAAAAGAGGTAGAAAGATGATGTTAAACTCTGTTGCTACCGTGACTTCCTGTGTGCACCATGTTGTTTCTGCTTTGCCATGCCTGTTTGTCATGCTTGCCTTAGAGTCTACTGATTATGGACTGAAACTTCTATGAACTGTCAAATGACTTCCCCACTTAACTTTTGGTGCCAGGTATTTTGTCTCAGTAATGAGAGAAAAGTACCTAACACACTTCCTCAAAGTAAATAAGGAAAATTGCAAAGGGCTAGAGATGTAGATGAAGTCCTTTGGATCAATCCTCAGTCTTCTAAAAATAGTTAAGGAAGTTAAGGGAAAGACTAAATAAAATTGGACTATGCATTAGAAATGCAATTAGGTTTTATTGAAGAAACAAAAAATATCCAGAAGAAATTTACATTATAATGGTAATAACTATAAGTTGTAGTGAATGTTTCATCACTACAAAAAGAAGTAAAGGCCACTGGTTCATTAAAGTGAAAACATTGCTATTTAATATCTCTCTAGAAATGGTGCTGATTAACCTCAGGTCCTCAAGATATTTCATAAAAAGCACATGATTCAATTTAAGAGGGGTTATTACTCCTAGAATATAGTTTATCTTTGAATGTAGGCAAAGAATGTCTGTCCTTACTAAAATGATGTAGCACTTAGGGGCAAAGATGCAGCCCAGCAGCCCTTCACAGGAGGCCAAGATGGAGAAGACCTCATGGCCAACATGACCTTCCCCTTGGTGCTGTGGTAAACAGGGAGGAAGGTGATCCACACACTGCAGAACACCAGCATGCTGAAGGTCAGGAACTTGGCTTCATTGAAGGTGTCAGGCAGGTTCCTGGCCAGGAAATCCACAGTGAAGCTCACCAGGGCCAGGGAGCCCAGGTATCCCAGGACACAGCAGAAGGCAGTGAGTGAGCCCTTGTTGCACAGAATGATGATATGGCCATGTTCAGAGTGTACATCTGTGTCAGTGTAGTGAGACCTCAAAACAGCAGAGCAGTGGAGACCCCCTGGAAGGGAGGGCCAGTTTATACAGAGGAGGTCCTGGAAGGTGAGTTTAACATCAGTAGAAATAGAATCAAATATAAGTCTCTGTGTTGTGGCCTGGCTTTCTCTATAAAAGTCTCCTTTGGGTGAAGCAGCAAACTTAGCAGAAGGAGGGTTCTTGAGGTCTACAGTAGGATAATAAGCTGATGTACCCAATTCCCAAAGTTGGGGTGAGACGAGAGTGGTTCTTTTGAAGGCTGAGGAAATGGAAAGACATAACCAGCTGTCCTCTATGAGACTGGGTGGGACTGGTTTAGTAAGACATAGACCAATTCTAGGTGTTAAAGAGGTAAGGGAGTAGTGGGTCTGGGCCATCATGTACCAAGACTGTCTCCATGGAGACAATAGCAACATCAGGTTAATGGTGCTGGCCATTATCAAATAGGTCAGGGGTGAATAGCTTATCTTTAAAGGAGATAGAGAATACTGGTGAAACCTCCTATACTATTGATGAAGACAAAGGTAGGAGACTCTTAGGGACAGTTGTGAAGACTTCCCAGGCAACTATAGCAGGGCCCATAGCAAAAATTAAGGGAAGTAGTGCAAGGAGGCCTAGAAACCAGGGAAAATAAGAATAATCCATAGGGTGATTGAAGGTGTCCCTTCTGGTTCCTTTTCTGGGAGTGCAGACTGGTGCAACCACTGTGGAAATTAGTAGGGAGATAGCTCAAAGAACTAGGACTAGAGGTCTCATGGGATCCAGCTATTCCTCTGCTGGGTATCTTCCCAAAAGAATTAAAAGAATCATACCACAGCAATATATGTGCACCCATGTTCATAGCAGCACAGTTTGTAATAGCTAAAACTTGGAAACAGCCCAATTGCCTATCAACGGAAGACTGGATAAAGAGGATGTGGTTTTTAATAAAATGGAGTACTACTCAGCCATAAAGAATGAGAAATTAGAGGCATTTATAGGTAAATGGATGCACATTGAGGCCATATTCTTAAGTGAAATAAATAGGACACACATGTAAATACCGAATAGTTTCTCCATGTGAGAAACTGAAAGTGTAAATAAGGATTAAAATGTATAATAGATAATGTGAAATAGGAAGAAAAGGGGCAAAGGGGAACAGGAAGTGGGAGGGCTAGAGGAAAGGAAAGAAGGGAATGGGATTAATATGAGAAAATGGAAAAATGGAAACAAAGTCTTTGCAAATAGGGAGGAATGGAGGGGTTGAAGGGAGGGCAGGGGAAGGGGGAAACATAAAAATCAAGGTATATTGTGTAAAGGTACAAATCTCCAATGATGAATGTCATTACATTGTATACCTAAAATGTACCAATAAAATTAATTTTAAAAAAGCAAAAGCATTAGTACTATGTTATTTGAATGGGAGTGAAATAGAAGACAACATGACACACTGTCCCTGTGTAGTATTCAAATTTTCAGTGAATAAGATTTTATATTATTAAAACACAGAATGTGGATATGAGGTTGGTATAAGGCAAAAAAAAAGTATAGAAAAATAACTAATAATTGATACTTTGAAATAGGAAAGGGTCCAAAGGGGTAGGAGTGGTGGGAGGAGATGGGGAAAGGAAAGAATGGAAAGGAAAAATTATGAGAAAAAAATGGAAATGAAGTTTGTAAATAGGGAAGGTTGGAGGGGGTGAAGGGCACACAGGGAATGGGGAAAAAATAAGAACCAAGTAACATCATGCATAGGTACAAGCACCCAATGATAAATGTAAACGTATTGTATACCTAAAATGTAGCAATAAAAGAATTTAAGCAAAAAAAAAAAAAAAGCATTTATGTTGCCCCTTGAGTATGCATAGCTCTGTGCCAAGGGTTGGGAAATAATAAATGTGTTAGAGTATAAAAGGAAAAAAAAAAGAAAACTAATGTTGAAGACTTTCATACTTTACTATTTTGGAAATATTTGGCTTTCTGATAAAAAATCATGGCATGTTATGATCTCGGTCCTGTAAATATTCTAATGTGTTTTGTGGCAGATGCAAGACAGTTTCACAGCATAATCAGTGTGCTGAAAATGACTACGCAGCTTACCATGTAGTTAAATTTGTTATGCATTCTTCCTGCAGACTGGACATATTGTACTTTAATGTATATGTTTTGTGTTTACATATAGAAAAGCTATACCCATAGATAGCAGTTCCTAAATGTTGATGGCTTAAGAAAAAGTGTTCTTAACTCATAAATTATAGAAAAGACAAAAAAGTATTAATTTAATAAAACATTACTTGTCAGTGCTGGAGATGTAGCAGGATGTAACTTATAGCTCGCTGTTGACCTTGGCCATGGGAGTGTCTCAGTGCTTCACAAAGAGCCCCAAAACAGCAGGTGAGAAAATAGACTCAGTGCAGTGTCAGCCAGAGCCTTCCCCATGGGATCTTCATAAGCCAGAAATGTTACAGATTTTTCAATGCAATTGTTTTGCTGAGTGTTGGCATACTGATGATCTGGACACTTCATATACTGCTTCCTTTCCAGTGTAAATGCAAACTGTTATCATTCCAAGTTTATTCTTTCTCATTATTTACATCTTTGCTCCCACACAGAAGTTCACTGGATTAGTTGATGGAAACTGTCCTACTTTGTCTTTCTGAACATTAAGTAAAACATTACATAGACTGTAATTTGCAATTGGTACCACTCATCTTCTTCATGGCACAGAGAACAACACCAATTTCACCTCACCTTGTGTATCTACTTTATCCATGCCAGTATATTTCTGTTCTCCCTGAATATACAAAGATTTGTCTTTCTAAACTAAACCTCTGTAAACAATGACCTGGGTATTCAGTCAGGGAAAAAAAATGTGTGGAGGATTCATCACCATATTTTTCATTAAGATCTAAGGAACCAAATATGAGCAATAGTGCTCAAGGTCAAGCATAGTAAATTTCCCCAACCTCTACAATTATCATTTTTATCCCAAGTATGTTTATCCCAAGTAGGCGTGAATGGAATTTCTTTTCTTCTTTAATTCATTTATTGGTACATTTTAGGTATACAATACATTTACATTTCTCATTGGGAACTTGTAACTTTACATGATGTATCTTGGTTCTTATTTTTTCCCCATTCCCTGTCCTCCCTTCACCACCTCCACCCTTCCCTATTTACAAAGACTTTGTTTCCATTTTTTCCATTTCTCATAATTTTTCCTTTACCTTCTTTACTTTCCCCTACCCCTCTCACTTCCCCTACCCCTTTGGACCTTTTCTTCCTATTTCATATTATCAATTATTCATTCTAATCATTGGTACATTTTAGGTATACAATATAATGACATTCATCATTGGAAATTTGCACCTTTACATAATCTTTCTTGGTTGTCATTTTCCCTCTTCCCCTGCCCTCCTTTCAGCCCCTCCATCCCTTCCTATTTACAAAGACTTTGCTTACATTTTTCCACTTTCTCATATTAATTCCATGTGAATGGAATTTCTGTAAGTTTTGACTGGAGCACGAGTGAGACCACCAAGCCAGGCAAAATCTAAGCAACATGCAATGAGTTACTGCAACATGGGTGCAGATGGGCCAAGGGCAAAACGGCTGTTAGCATAGGAAGAGGGTGTGCATAGTTTATATAGGGGAGTTTAACTGTGTGTGTGTGGGTGTCTGCTCACAGGGTGGAAAATTTTGGGGTCTCTTGGGTGATAAGATTGAGGCTGGTGAACAGGGCGGGGTGAGCGTAGCAGGGCGATTGCAGGTACAGCAAGGTACAGAGGTTGTCTTATGGTTTTTTTGAGAATTGGGCTCCATGCAGGTGTGAATGATTGAGACAGTAGGTGGCTTCCTGTCATTGCTGTTCTTGCAGGCAATGCATCTGTTGGGCTTTTTCTCTTTTTCTTTCTGTTGGGTGGGGGTCTTGCTTGGGGAGTCTGTCAATTTCCATTATAATTTGATTGAAGTGATAGACAAATTGAATGGTGAAAACAAAAATCTTTTCCTTATTGAGTCCTCAGCCATGAAATGCTTTTACAACCACAAGTTTTAGTTCCATCGGTTAAACTCTTTTAAAGAATTTATTAGTAGAATCAATCAAAACCTTAACAGATTTTATCAATGAAGAGTTGTAAACTTAAGGTGCAATGAATATCATCTTTTAAATTTTCATTTTGAATGGCTTTTGAGTGAGATTCAGATATAGTATTTGTGCATTAACCTTGTATTTGGCCAGCACTAAATGCAGTTATTAATGTTAATTAACCTATTTCTTATCCTTATTAATTGGTATAATCATAAAATAATACATCATATTTCTTTCTTTCCATTAAATATGTTTTTATGTATTTTATGACAATAGTTCTTAAGGCAAGATCTCCAGCATTTTTTCAAGTAGAATTTATGTGGAACGTGCTTTTCTCATTCCTGATTTCAATATTAAACCAGAATACATGATAATTCCTTTAGCATTGTGTAAATCTAATTTATGAAAATTAAGACACCTTCATCCTATTCCCATTTAAGGAATGGTTGGTTTGCCATTTTTTCTTTATAAATCATAGAAAGATGCTCAATTTTAGGATGTTTTCTAGTTCTTGAGATTGTTGCCTATTCCATATGTTGTTAGCACAAGTTATGTTATGTACATAAAGTATGGTCATGATATAGCCTCCATAAAACTATCTCTCAATTAGAAATAGGAAATGTGAATTTAGTAAAAATGGTAAGTGTCTTATAAAGATTTCTGTATGTATGGAAATAGGTATATGGGGAGTATGAGCAGTCAACATTGTGTGAATGACTTACCTGAAAGAAGTAAAATGGCTAAATTTAGTTGTCCTCAGAAAAACACTAGTGTAAAGAGTATGCAAGCTCTAAGCATCTAGAATGAGTGAGGGGAATAGTGCTTGTGTGTCCAAGCAAGAATAAATAAATTTGAGGAAAAATCAAATGTTGCTTCTTGCATTGGGAAAATAGTGATGATATGCCACACATGTCACTTTATCCTAAGATTTAGTGTTATATGGAAAGGTTGAAGAATAACAATAATTAATGCATAAAACTATACATTATATTTCCTTAAATGTAAAATGGTGAAATAAATATATTTTGTTTATAGGTAACAAAGATAAGACTCAATGAAACTATATCTCTGGCCCTAATTTCCTTTTAATTTGAGACAAGGTTTCACTTAGTTGCCCATGCTGGTCTCCAACATGTGATCCTCCTGCTTCAGCATGACAGCTGTCTGTAAATGCAGTCATGGATGTCCAGGTACTGATGAATGTATGGTTTAAGAGCAGCAAGATCCAAAGTATGAATTCTCACCTTGGCAGAGAAGAGAGCCCTCTGTTTTTCAGAACAGTGTGAAAGCACAGGGAGTGAGGCTTGGAGGAGTCAATCTCAGAGGATTATTTGGGAATTTGGAACTGAAGCATCTGGAATAGTAGACATGACTGCATTTCAATTCATCCTCCTTGGTCAGCTGTAACTACTTTGGCTCAGGCAGAAGAAGGTGGACAGAGATGAAATCTTCACAACCCCGATTAAGGAGGGACTTACACTGCTACCTAAATTGACACTTACTGCCAACAGATGGAGAAGTCTGTTCTCTTGGCCTGAATCATCTAATGTGGCCAAGATGTGTTCAAGGATCTGAGTTCATGGTAAGATTCCCTAGGACTTTCTGTTGATTAATGTGCCACAGATTGAAACACCAGAGCCAGCTTTGTAAAACTCACTCTGATTGGTTCCAAGCCATATTAAAAATGTATTAAATAGATATATAGATTCCCTCTGCTTTTTGCTCCTTAGACCAAATGTGATGAGAAAAACACAATTAAATATTTAATTTAATGCAAATAGTGGGCTTAATTTTTGGCATAGAGAAAATAGAGATGAGGAAGAGAGTGGAAGATAAATTTTTGGGTAACATGAAATTTATTTTCCACAGATGAGTCAGTCAGACCAGGACTTAGGGTGAGGGCTCTTCAAGATTCAGCAGAGAACAAGGAAAATTGTATGTCTGTAGTAGTTTTGGGCCAAAGAGGACAGTGATTAATTCATTATTATTTTTTAATTTTTTAAAGCATTAAAGTTTTGATAGCATACAATTTAGTTTTAAAATCTATGTAGAAATTTTAAAATTCCCCATTTCTCTATTTTATTTTATGAGTTCTCCTTGCCTCATTCCTTTCATTTCTTCTTGATCTCTTCCCATTATTTTGCCTTTAACATTTTTCCATCCTTCTACCTATCCTTCCATCCATCAGTCCAATTCTCCAACAAGTTCCTTCTTTCATTTAAGAAACATATTTTACTGGATATCTAAACTGTAAAATCCAACAAGGATGGCACTAAAATGAGATAACATTTGTCAATTCATTTAACATTGATGTAAATATATTAAATTCCAATATGTTCAAAATAGTGTTATCAAATGTCAGCATAGAATGAAAAAATAAGTTTTTTTCTGATAATAAGTATAGTGAACCCTAGACTTACAAAGTCAATCAGTTCCCAAGGGCTGGTTTAATTAAGTCAATGTAACTGTGATCTGAATGTTTACCTGGCTACATGCTATAGATATCAAGAGACAGATGAATCTTCAATTAATCTAGTTAACACAAGTTGTTTGTATTTCAGGTGGATCATAACTTGATTGTCCACTGCATTACATACTAGTGATAAAATTATTTATCTTTATTGATTAAAAGGTCAGAGCAACTTAGAAATATACAAACCAACATTTATATATTTTAAGGTCTAGCCTCAACAACAATAAACATGTAATATTTGATGTGAAATCTTTGGGTTGTTCACTGAAAGTACAAGTAATAGAAATAAGCATCTGTTTATGTTTGAAATAATGTACCATATTAACATTTTAAAGAAAAGCAGAAAGAAATTACAAAACGGAATAAAAGGACAAATGTATAATTACCACATTATGTGGATTAAAAAAATCACAGGGATTCAATAATACAGCTGAAAAATTTGGTCATTTGATTCAACAAATGTTTCCTTATAAAATATTGAGTCCACTAACTATAGTAGATAAAACTATGCTTACATTATTAACGAATCCTAAAAATATTAAGGAATAAATTTGAGGAAAAATACTGTATATAATATTTGTGTGTATGTGTAATAAATACAAAACAAATATTGACACGTGGACATGTCTCACATTAGAAAAGAATGCTTAAACTAGAATGATAGAAACACTTAACCATTCATATTAAAATTCACTATAGAACACTATCCCTTTATTTAACACATAAATTCAATTCAGTGCCATTTTAAATTCAAAAGCTTTTGTTATCACATGTGATTATCCAATTCTAGGATTCTAAAGGCAAGAAGAGACAGGGTTTCTGCAAAGACAGCTTCAGGAATCTTGATGAGCAAGGATTAGCAAGGAAATATGAAAGTATTTATCAAAATAAATTATGATCAGTGTATTTAATGCATAGTTATTCTTGAGAAAAATATTTAATGCAACACACGAGGGAATTCTGAAATTTGGGGATCTACAGACAAAAGTTACCACATTAATAATGAGTAAATATGAGGTGAAGTGCTGCACAAGATAAAACTGAGTAACCAAATGAAACTTAAGCACAAATACAAAGGTTTATTATTGATTTTATGAGAGAAAGAAAAAACCTTTCAGACTAGATTTCAAAGTGAAAAGGTAATTGTTGCAAGAGTTAACAACTTTAGGAGCATTACAGAAAGAAATAATTCTATTGATAACTGAAGTAAATCTCATGCTGTAAGGTTAATATGTAACTGAAAAAAATGTTAAAGATTTGCTCCAGACTCTGTACATATTTTAGAAAAATACATTTTTAACTTAAAAAGACTTTTTATTCTTTTCAGAATGTGTTTGGTCTCTGAACCCATGCAGAGATTTCCTATCTGGCCTTAACAAAATAATGTAACACTTGGGGGCAAAGATGCAGCCCAGCAGCCCTGCACTGGAGGCCAAGATGGAGAAGACCTCCATGGCCACCATGACCTTCCCCTTGGTGCTGTGGTACACAGGGAGGAACGTGACCCACACACTGCAGAACACCAGCATGCTGAAGGTCAGGAACTTGGCTTCATTGAAGGTGTCAGGCAGGTTCCTAGCCAGGAAAGCCACAGTGAAGCTTACCAGGGCCAAGGAGCCCAGGTATCCCAGGACACAGTAAAAGGCAGTGAGTGAGCCCTTGTTGCACATGATGACAATGTGGCCATGTTCAGAGTGTGGATCTGTGTCAACGTAAGGTGGCTCTGTTCCCATCCAAACTCCACAGAAAGTGAGCTGGATCAGGGAGCCGATGGGGATGATGTAGTTAGGTGCCCCTGATACCAGCAACTGCCTCATCCTTCTGCCTGGAGCAGTGACCTTAAAGGCCAAAATCACAGTGATAGTTTTGGCCAAGACAGTGGAAACAGCCACAGCGAACACAACTCCAAATGTAGTTTGTTGGAGGATGCAGGTAGCTGTGTTGGGACGGCCAATGAAAAGTAAGGAGCAGAGGAAACAGAAGATGAGTGAGATGAGCAGGGTGTAACTGAGAGCCCTGTTGTTGGCCTTGACTATGGGAGTGTCTCGGTGCTTCACAAAGAGCCCCAAAACAGCAGCAGTGAGAATAGCCAAGCTCAGGGCTGTGCCAGCCAGACCCTTTCCCAAGGGGTCTTTAAAAGCCAGAAAAGTGACAGATTTTTGGAGGCAGTGAGTTCTCTGAATGTTGGCATACTGATAGTCTGGGCACTTCACACATTGCTCCAGATCTAGCAAAAAATGCAAATTTTTCTCAGTGCATGTTCAGTAATTCCCTGTTATTTACTGCCTCCATCACAAATAGCAAACTGGCCTAGTTGAGCCATACTATTCTCTTATGTAGTCATATACCCAGTAATGCCAAATCCATAGTGTTTTTCTTCTTTACAGTGCAGGAAACAATGCTAATATTTATTTTCTTTATTTTTTTGGCATGCTTTTTGGAAAATTTTTCCATTCTCAAGAAAACTTAAAGATCTACCTCTGCAAACAGTAGATATTCATTCAATGAAGGAGCACTCACTGGGAAAGCACCAAGAGCTTTATATTTTCTAATTGCCAGGGAAATAAATTTGTACCATAAAACTCCACAAGTTACAGTAAGTTCTCTGTATATTTACAGATTTTACCACAAAGCATAGTGGAAATTTGGTTACAATTGGATGGTTTCAGTAGAACAGTTTAAAGCATTAGCATCTTATAATTATTGAGCCCTTTGATTCAGAAATATCCATTTCAGTTTTATCATTCTTAATGCTTTCCTGTTATATAAATATAGTAGAAACTTTGAAAAACTTGAAAAATTATTTCTAAATATTTCATAGTTATGATATAGTAATTGTCTTTTAAAATTCAGGTTCTGAATTATGAGTGATGTGAAGAAAGAATTGTTTGAATGTTAACCTGACATTCAATCAACAATCAATTCCATTAATGATTAATTCACTTGGGTTTTATCCTTGCACACCATTATCATTGCAAAATACCAGTGCCGTGTTTTTTTACTTTGAGATGCATGCTGGTCTTATTTCTTTTTCTGACATTATTGCATTGGCTGGCATCTCCACTGTACCACGGTAGATGTGGTGAAATTAAGTTCTTCTGCCTAACGTTTGTTCAACATTGAATGATTCTATAAATATTTTTGTGGCATTAACAAAATTTCCTCCTATTCTTAATTTAATACAACTTGTTGTCATTCATCGATAAATTGTAAATAAGCATTTTATTTCATTTATTAACATTTCTTATGTCTTTTCTAGAATCTAGTGCTCCAAATTATACGAAGTAAGCAAAATCTGGCCACAATGTAGCCTCCTTAAACTATAGCACATTTTGGAACAGGAAACGGGATTTTAATTTAAAAAGGTAAGTTGCAAGCTGAGTGTGGGGCTAAGCACCTGTAATCTCAGCACTCAGGAAGCTGAAACAGGAGGATCCTTGCAAATTCCAGGCTAGCCTGAACTATGTGGCAAGACCCCATCTCAAAAAACAAATGAATAAATAAAGTAAACAAAAAAGGAGAAAATTTTTAATGATGTTTGATATTCTACTATCATCCATGAGTAGTACAGTTCAAGTTAACTCAAAATAAATTGATTTTTGCATTTCCTATTTATCAGAAAGAATTTGAATAATTTAGTACTCTTACTTTCTTATAAAGTTCACCAGTAAAACTGTCAATCAACATAAAAATTATGACAAAACTAAGATATGAATTCAACTTTTTAAGTAGGTGTGGGAAGTTGAACATTTTGTTCAGTAATTTATCTGTAAATTCATGAATTTCATTTATATTTTCAAGTACACTTATATGATGTTACTTATATTTTCTTCCAAAGTACCCTATATTTTTTTCCAGACAAGTCTACTTTTAGTGTTTGTATATTTGTTTTTGCAATTTATCTTTAACTTCGTGGCCAATTTTGTCAAGGGCTATTAATTTTATTTTGTTACTAAAATAAACTTAATTGTTTTTTATGGCTTTGATGTTCTTCTATTTCCCTGTTATTTCCTATCTTCCATTTTAATTGTTTCCTTTTCTCTTTAATTTCTTGTTTGTATCAAATATTTCAGATGTGGACATTCAGCTTATCTTTCTGTAAACACACATAATAAAACAAATGCATATATATATCTCCTAGGATAATTTCAGTTTCAATCCACAAGGTTTAATGAATGGTACTCTCAGTTTTTGGGTTTTTTTGGTACTGGAGTTCTCAGTTTTGACTTTTTGTAATTTCTATTAATTTCTTTTCTAGCAATCATGATTTTGAGATTTTTATTTATTAAAACATAAAATAATTGTTGCTGGCTGTACTTTTCATGTGTGCATAGGATACATATAATGAAAGTACTATGTATAAAATCTTGATAAATTATATTATACAAATGCATATATTTTGTGCATATATAATATGCAAATTAACTGTAGGGTACAACATATTGGTAATTTTGGCACATTTCCAATATATGGAAATCATACAGGAAAGTGAAATCAAGTCACCAAACAATGGCAGTAAAGTGGAAAAGCCTAAGCAGAAAGGTGACTCCAACTTGTCATGATTTAATATAATAAATTCAAACCATTACAAAGTGGTAATTATGATATGTAAAATCTTCAGTATTGTTTTTCTGTGCTATATTGTCTATGCCCTGTCCCAGCTAATGTCCCATATAGTACATTTTAATAGCATTGAACCTTAGATATGTCAACTTAAATATTATATATGTGGGAATGTGTAATATTGACACTTCTATTGACCTTAATAAGAATTTGTGTATCAAGGGCTGGGGATGTAGCTCAGTGGTTCTGGCACCTGCCTCGCAAGCACAAGGTCCCAAGTTCAATCCCCAGTACCAAAAAAAAAAAAAAAGAATTTGTGTTTCTCTCATTCATCAGATATAATATTGATATTACATCTTTAATGAAGTTTAAAACATTATTAAAACATTAGGTATGTTCCAGGGACAGAGAGTGTGTTGTTGACAAGTGACATTTTATTGTGTGAAATAATTAAATCAGATACTAGGGGAAGAAGGAATTATAGTTTGGTAAGCTCTTCATTTATTTTCTATTTTCTAGGCAGAAGGCAGGATAAAATGAGAAATGGAGAATTTCTCTGGAAGGCACAGACTTACCTGTCTCATTGGAGATCTCATTCTCTGGGCAAGGGCTACAATAGAAACAACAGGCAGCCCGTCCTTCCTGAGGGGATTTCCTGAATCCAAGATGACAGCTCTCACTGCACACAGAGTGGGGAGTCTGAGGGAAATCAGATATGTGTTGATGGATTCTTGGACTTTTACCTAATACTTCAGAATTAGAGGGATAGAGTAAATTTAATAAGCATATATGCTATGTTTACTGAATTATGTGAATATATAAAATTTTTTGAAATTATGTTAAAGAACTTTATGCCTTTTCCCTTCATCAAGAATCTGATATAGGGCCAGAGATTTAGCTCAGCGATTCTGCTGCCTGCCTCGCAAGTGCGAGGTCCCGAGTTTGATCCCCAGTACCAAAAAAAATTCTGATATATAAGAAAAAAATGTAAAATGTATTGTGACTTTTGAATTTCCACAGGTAAAGTTTTTCTAAGCTAGAGCAAGGACAAAACACTCACAGCACAATTTTGCTATTATGATTAAAGAAATCCTTTACAATTCCATCCAAATTACCTCTGTAATTCCTGTGCCCCACTCTATCACATCCTCATTTAAAGACAATTGTTGACTACGTGGGAGATGTGGGGAAAAGAGTCCTACTTTTGCTGTAAGTCTGAGACCCTCTGGAAGATTCCAAAAGTTGAGAATGTCATACTCTCCATCCCATTTCCTTTGCTCATTCATGTTCACTTGGCCTCCACCAGGATTAGTAAATTGAAGTTCCTTCAGAAAGTGGTGTAACTATAAGAGATGAATAATTTTATAAATATCTGGGCCCTATAACCATAGGGCCCAATGATCAGAAGTCCACCAGAGAAAGTCCTTGACTGTCTATAGCCCCTGCTTTACAATGAGAATTCTGCATATGCTCCAGTGAAGTAGAACAAGTGAAAGTCTATGGAAAACTAAAATATCACAATGCTCCAAAATATCAATATTCATAAAAACGCTACTGGAAAGCCCAACTAAATATTGTTAAAAACCAGAAAATACTTCGGGTGTATAGTGAAGGCTTCCCATATTTATTTTTTGTCTTATTGTTTCCAAAGGACATACATGAAACAAAAAGTTTTAATAGTAATTCATTATAGTGCTTATCACCTTTGAGTACATAAGTACATATATTTATACAGTATGTGAAGAAATACCATGCTTTCCATGGTCTCTTTAAAATTCCATCAGAGTTGGGGATTTTGCTCAGTAGCACCATGCCTGCCTTGCAAGCACAAAGACTTGAGTTTGATCCCTGTTACAAAAAACAAGCAAACATACAAACAAAAACCTACAAAATAAAATTTCATCAGAAAATTTTATATTAGTTTTGTTGAAAACTTTAGGTGGACAGTATGCTGACATCCTGTGGAACACAAAAGATTTGTCATGACTCATCTAATTTGCCCCTTGGTAGTGGCTCCTTATTGTGAATAACCATTTCTACTCAGATTTCTGCTGCTCATTGACAATGAAATTGATGCAGAATCTCTTGTTGATTTGGATAAAATATTCTAAACTGTGTTGTTTTCACATCTGTGGAACCCCTCAAGATAAACACATTAGTGGCAGTGTTTGCCATCCAGTGGGAAAGCTATTACCTGCCAGGGGGAAAATCCCTTCAATTCACCATTCTTTCTTGGTTGCATCTGAACTTGTTGAAGAAGCATTTCATGGAGGGCATGGGCCATGGCATACACAGCATTGTAGATATTATAACTCTCATCACTCATGGCAGGGTCAAAACGACTTACAGGAAGATACATGAGAGAAGCATTAGCTGGGCAGTTCCTCAATGTACAATCAAAATTAGATAAAGTGCAGTCAAAGTTCATGGACCAAAATATAGTGAAGTAAATGTCTTCTGGATATTTTGAGGGGGTAGCTGTCTGGATAAAAGTTTTAAAACCAGAAATCTCCTCATGCTGGAGTGAGAAAATGAGTGTTCCATGGAAAGAGTCAATTATGAAATTTTTCCCAAAGATGTCAGGATGCCATTGTGAGTTTGTGACCCAGACTCTCCATGTCACTAAATATTTCCCAGTGTAAAATCCAGCATCATGTGCAGTATTAGTATCAAAGTAGATAATAACAACATTTGCTGGTGATGTTTCTCTGGTCCATAAATCATATGTTAGTCTATTTGATTCGTTTTGGATGTAACTGTTTAAGATCATTTTTACAAATGCTACACAGACTCTGTTCCTGTCCATCTCTGCCCGCAAGTCTGAGAGAAATTGAAGACCTTTCTGACACTCTGCAATGACCAGTCCCACCCATGTCCAGCTAAAATAAAGCATCAATGAGACCATGCCAATGGCTAGAGATGTGTCTTTGGGAGCCATCTGATAGAGAGAGGGAAGTTGATCATTGTCACTGAGGATAGGGTCAAAAGAGCCAAAGGTTAGCTACAAGAAAAAGAAAATTTAAAATGAAATGATGAAGTTTGGTACAAAGCACAATCTCATATTTGAAGGGTATTAATCAAGAACTGAAAGTGAAAAAGGGGATAATTGTTCATTCTACCTTTTAAATTATCTTACTGTAGGGAACAGGGGAAGGGGATGTTACCAGAACCTCTGCAGTAAGTCCTAGTCTCCTGTGAGCCATAGCAGCACATGGTGAATTACAGGAAAGGTAGAAAAATGAGACTGAGAAGAAGCTGAGCTTTGGGTCTGAACAGTGCTGCTCTGGGCAGCAAAGACAAAGACCACCAAGCTTGCAGAACTTTTTATTCAGTACATGGGGAAACAAAAGTATCAAGTGAAAATGCAGAGTTCATTACTTTACATTGGGATAAACAAGGTGTAACAAAAGACTGGGGGGGGCAGTGGAAATCTAAGAACAACCAGGAACTATGCAGATGAAGATTTAGTTCCTCCCTGGCATCTCCCGCAGGTGTGGTCTTGTCCTGGAGATTACAGCATCCCGGGATCACTGAGGTCTCAGTTGTGACCCCAGGCCGAAATGTAATTATGTCTGGAATGCCATAGCTGGCCTGTAGGCAGGAGAACTAAGCCTACTCAAATGATTTTTCCCTAGAATTATGTAGCATTGCTCCCAACACTTACACTTTAAAGCCTTTCAGAAAATAATTAATTAAGTACAGGGAAAAAAATCTTTGTCTACTTTCCTCTCTTCCTCATTGTTGTAGGCATTTAAAATATGGTTGACTAAACCTAGATTCTTTGTATTCATTGTTTTAGATTATGTATTTTTCTAATTTTCTGTTTTTTTAACATTTCTGATAGTACATATTTGTCACCTGATCTTGTTCATCATAGGGAATTTTACCTGTGTATCATATATTTTAATTCTTTTTTCCCCATTGTCCTCCAACCACTTCAACCCCCCCTCCCCTCCTCTTTAACAAAGCATTGTTTCCATCCCAAAAGCTTTAGTTCTTCCATTCTCTTTTGTTTCTTTTTCTCTTCCTTCCCTTCTTTTCTCCACTCCCTCCCTTGTCTGCTTTCCACTGGAACATGTTCTTCCTGCTTCCCAATCTCTATCATCTATTTTGGTCCTTATTTACATTTTTGGTTTCTCACACAAGAGAAACAATGTGATATTTAAACATATGTGTTTTCTTTATTTCACTTAATAGTATGGTTTCAAGGTGCATCCATTTTCCTAAAAGTGTCTCAAGTTTGTCCTTCTCTGTGTCAGAGAAGTACTCCACTGTAGACAAAAGCAACATCGTTCAGAGTTGCGCAGAACTCACTGAATCAGCCCTCTCTGCAGACAGGCAGGTCTGCGGGCACCGTAGCAACATCG